TAGACGTTTCATTTGACTTTGCATTTCTCATGCATTTTTTCTTAGGCTATGGATTTTGTCCTTACTCGGGTTTTTACTATAGCCATAGGGTTTTTTGTGAGACTCAATTCCTTATGCAAGTTCCTACCTTATTTGAGAATAGTGTGTTCCTAGAATCAGTGTCGACGAGTCAACTTCCTCAACCTCTACATGATGCTTAATCTACTTGAGTATTTACACACTCAAGGGGGGGTGTTGTAAACTTCTTATTTAAGAGTGATTGTGTAAATCCTAGATTATATTTGATTCTAGTTATTCTTCCCTATTAGGACTTGTATTCCTTGGAAGAGAATGATTTCTTCTCTCTTTTATTACTATAAATAAAGGCACTGCGTAGGGGGAATAACACATCCTCTACACAACCCTACAAACACATATCTCTCTCTATATTTTCTCTGTGCCGCCGGCCTCTCTCCTTATTAGTTAAGGCCATCTCCAACCGAAGGCTGGCCAAAAGGCTCGTTTTAGCCCTCTAACCCTCCAAGAAATTAATATTTTAATGAGCAGTGCAGGGCCATATTTGTTACCATCTCCAACCAAAGGTCAAAGGGTCATAGGGCAATAGGGCCAAACATAATTTATTATTAAAAACTACAATTTAAATTCAAATCCAACGGCTAAGTGACATCAGCTAGCCGTTGCTTAAGTTTTATGTTGTTAAATGTTTTTAAAAATGTTGTTAAATGTTTTATTTTTATGTTGTATAATTTTTACGTTGTTTAATGTTATCTAATGTTATTTAATGTTGTTTAATATTGTTTAATGTTGTTTCATATTACTTAATGTTATGTAATGTTTAATGGTTTAGGAAGTTATAGGAAAAAAAAAAGAACCTTTACAATTTTTAAAACAAATTTTGAAAATAAAAAATAAAAAATAAAAAAATGGTAAAAAAATAAATTAACGGCTAGCTGACGTCAGCAACTAGCCATTGCAAATTTGAATTTCAGCCCGACCCAGCGCCAGCTGGCTTGCTGGTTTGGGCTGGCCGGTTGGCCCTTTGGCCCTTTTTTGTCCAGTGGGGCCCACGAGCTCTTTGGCCTAGCCCTCGGTTGGAGACTGTTTTAGGGCTATTTTCGATCCTCAGACCCTCTAGACCCTTCGGTTGGAGATGACCTAAATATAGGCCACAACATAGAGGTTGTTATTGGCATTAAAAAAGTACTCTTGCATTTATAAATTATTTTTTCACGTTTAGTCACGGTGCAAAATAATTTTTTTTTAAATTTAAATAATAGTTCACATGATGACAATATGATAAACGTTGTAACTTATACCAGTATTTGACATAGGCGAGCAGGGATTTGAAAGTAAATTTCGGAGGTTGATAATGTACCCTATATAAAAGTGGATCATATTAATCGTGTCTGCTCATATTAGATTACTTGAGATAATAACATCACGTGACATGGTGATGGTGTTCTTAAGACACAAACTTCTCAAATATGTCCATGAAAAAAGACCGTTCAATTCCTAAAACTATGCAAAAACAAACAGGTAAGGAGTCTAAGGACCTGTGTTAACTAACAGCAATTGTCAGAATAACTGTTTCATTCTAATAATAACCCGAAAGGCGCCTTATAAATCTAATTGTGCATGCATTCCACAGCCTTGCAAGAAACCACATCAGAAATAGCAAGTATTTTTTGTTCCCATAGATCATCTGAACGGAACTCGACGTATTATCATTTTCAAAGTTGAAATTCATCATCATGGACATGAAGAAGATCTCCCTTACCCTCATTGTCATCGCTGCCTTGATGAGTGTGGTCTTGGCTGCAGCTAAGGAGGCCCCCAAGACAGCAGCAGCAGCTACCCCCAAGGCTAATGCTCCGACCGCCAAGGACACAGCAGCGCATGCCCCTGCCCCAAGCTCCGCCTTTACTCGCTTCCCCAATGTTGGATCTTTGGCTGCTGCCTCCCTTTTGTCTTTGTCTGCCTATTACATGCAATACTAAGCTCAAACTTTTGGAGATTCCCAGCTAGGAAATGGGATTATGAGTCATGGTTTATTTCTCTATTGTGTACTCAACCACACCAATCTTGTATTGTAGCTACATTATATCCATTATTTATCGGTAATGTGAGGTCCAGCATTAATGCATTGTTCTCAATATAACAATATCATGATAGTCTATATCATCTATCACATAATCCATGTAATTTAACGTAAACATTATTTGCGTTATCTTTTTATAATTTAAAACATTTTACTCTCATGGTTTGACACCCTTCCAACTCCATCAAATCACACCCACTTGACCTAGGCCAACTAGGACGATCACTTGAGCACCCAAAAACTCGGGGCACAAAAAATATTAACTTGATTTACGCATATGAGGTTATATATCTGTACTCGTATAAAAATTTGGAACTGTTATTAGACCTCCAAAAATTCTCATTTTACACTTCTCATAAGTGTATTTTTCATTTTAATTATAGAAAATTTAGAGTGCAAAATGAGATTTTTAAAGTGACAATATCAATTTTCTAAATATAAAAAGATAACTTAATATTTATCACAAGTCACTAGCAGCAGCTGTTCTTGCTGCTTAATTTTACATAAAGCCGACATTGGTTTCACTCTTGCTCCGGAAGGGGGCTATTTCTTTCTTTTACGAATTTTCAAATTTTTTTTATACAATAATATATTACATGGGGAATAAATTGGTATATATAGAACCATCATTCATGAGATTTGAACTTAAGGTCTATCACTTACATGTAAAATAAGAATTACTATTATACTTTAATTGTTAAATAAGTAAAGAAATGATGGCTGAATAATTTGTAGGCTTTGGCATAAGTGTATTTTTAAGGATTCACTTAATTAGAAATACATTATTCCAATACATTATTCCATTTTTGTACAACGATATATTTATTCAAAGGGTTAGGGAAATAAATTGTGTAAACTTGTCATTCTAAGATTCAAACTTAAGTCATCTCCCTTACAAGTAACTGTGAAACTTAACTTTTGACAAGAAGTGTTAGAATCTAAAAGTCTTTGCCTAAGTAGGTCAAGACAAAGTATATGGAGTGCAAGTTCAGTGGGAATGAGGGTCCAAATGATATAAGGGCAAAGATTGGAGATCAAGAAGTATAAATGAGTGAACGTTTTTGTTATCTTGGATCTATCTTGCAAAAGAATGGAGAATTAGATGTAAATCTCAACCATTTTAAAGAGAGGTCAATTAAGGTCACTTAGTACCATAGTCTAGTAGTATTCTTTTTTAGTTGTGGACATTTTCACAAATTTGCATATCGGTATTTTTACAGATACCAATGTTTTAAACATTGGATGTAGATGAGATAACTTAAATTCGAATCTCATGAATGACAAATTCAATACCAATTTATATTCCACCACTCCTTACTGTAAATATATTGTTGTATATAAAAATAAAAAATAAAAAATAAAAGGAAGATATCAATGAAGAGAAATTTTAGCAACTGGTGACCTTAGATGAAGGAAAACTGTTTTTATTGATCTTAACTAGTTGTAGCGGGCAATATTTTCAGTTGACCTAAGCAGAAAAATGAAATTACTTATTGACCTAAATTGATTTTCCTAGTTATTTTATTGAGGTATTCATCAATTTCCCCCTGAACTTGTGACTATTGGCCAATTTCCCCCCTCAACTTTAATTTTGGCCAATTTCCCCCCTCAACTCTCATAATTAGTCAATTTCCCCCATCAACTTTAATTTGGCCAATTTCCTCCCTCAACTCTCATAATTTGTCAATTTTCACCCTACTGTTAATTTTTTAATTTGATCATAATTAAACAAGTGTGTGTAAGAAACTAAATAAGATGTATGTTAATCATTTTCCTATGTCTTTACCTATTACAAATAGATTAAAATTTAGAACTTTACAATTTATCATAGATAGTATTATTAGTCATAATAAATCAGTATGGAGTAATTTTATTTGAATTTTTACTATACAAAATTGATAACGAAAAGGATTGATGTGTACATTTTTGTATGTGAATACAATTTTCTTTATAAAAGTGAAAGCTAAGTTCAAGTAAATTGCGGAGAATCGAGCTTTAGTGCAAAAATGGCTAGTCAATTCATAATTTTCGACTCCTTATTAAGAATAACCCATTTTATTGAAATAGGTTTGATCCATGAGTTTAGGAATATTATTTCTTCTTCTACATGCTTTAAACCCGATTCATAACTTTTTCTTATAATCAACCCATATCACATACTAATTGTATTATGTTTTTGTACATTTTACCCTATATTATGCAGGTGAGTTTATGTTAGTTTTAGTACTTTGTTGGAAGTTATTAGAAAGATTGAAAGAAAAAAAAAAAGAATAGATGGAAAATTAAAAAAATTTAACAGTAAGGTGCAAATTGACTAATTATGAGAGTTAAGGGGGGAATTTGGCCAAATTAAAGTTGAGGAGGGAAATTGACTAATTATGAGAGTTGAGGGGGGAAATTGGCCAAAATTAAAGTTGAGGGGGAAAATTAGCCAATGATCACAAATTTAGGGGGAGAATTGATGAATACCTCTATTTTATTTGGTTTTACATATTGACCAACTTTATACCGAGAGCTACCTATTTGCTAAAGTGAATGTGCTCATCCTATGAACCGGGTTCGAATCTTCTTCCGAAACACATAAGAGAATAGTTTAAAGTAAGACATCACGTGAATACAAAATAAAAAATAAATCTTTGACCAAGATTTCACCAGTTTGGTCATCGCCAATCCACCAAGAAAACTACAACGGTGGTTTTTGTTGTTCCAACTTCCAATTTCCTCATGTGTTTCAGTCTAATGTCCCCAAAATTAGAAGTTAAAACAAAAACAACAAATCAAACAACAGATGTGCATTTGTTTCTGACCACTCGATCGCATGCAAAAACATCGTTCAATAGTTTCCTCCTGATACCATGCAGAAAAACACGTTCAACCACCCAAAATTGTTTCACTCCAAAAATAAACCAAATTCTTCCTATATATATTGAAATAATTTTTCCTCTGTATTCCTCAGAGCTGCAGTAATCAAGGAAGTAACAAAGAAATTTCCTTCATATCCTATCTCTAAGGCAGCTGTGTTTTCTATCAACTTATTCTCCCTGTCACAATATTCATCATGGAAATGAAGAAGATCTCCCTCGCCATCATCGTTGTTGCTGCCTTATTGAGCGTAGTCTTGGCTGCTGACAAACCCAAGGACCCAGTTGCCGCTGCCGCTACCCCTAAGGCATCAGCTACCGCCCCTGTAGGCTCAGCTGCTACCACCACAAGCACAGCATCTTCCCCTGACTCAGCTCATGCTCCTGCCCCATCAGGCGCCACCTCCACCATGCCCCTTGTCGGCTCTCTGGCCGGTGCCTTCCTCGTGTCCTTCTTTGGCTATTACCTGCAGTAAGCTCAGAGAATAAAATGAAATTCTCAATAAGGCTATAAAAAGTGGAAAATTTACTATGAAATCCAATGTGGTTTCCAAGAGAAAGTTAAGGATGTATTTTTATGAATAAACTGTACAAGTATAAACATGCTGTATATTTAGACAACAATAAAAGTTACCGCACAGTAAAAGTTATCGCATCGATTTTCCACAAGAGCCAATGTTGAGTTACAATCTGCAAATATGTTATTTCTCACTCTAAATCTTCAAAAATTAACACACTGGTTGACAAACAAATTTATGTCAATATAATGAAACACTCTCTTTTCTTCTTTTCCTTTTTTGGAACAGTTTTGCATGAATTACAATCAAATTATCCATAAAAATTAGGATCCTCCATTAGATTTTTGTGCAGACATGAGACTCTGTGTCAACCATATAGCTGTTTCTCTAGATGAGACCGCATCTTCTCCAAATGGTTTTAGCACGCCAGCAAGCTCATCAAGCTTGTCCTGCTTTAGTAGCCGTGCGCATAGCTCAAGCAGAGACTCAAGGGCCTTAGCTCTTTGCTGACTTGGATTCTCCCAGTTGCTCTTGGAATCATCACCGCCTACTGCAGCTATGTCAATTGGTGCTTGGTTAATCACACGAACCTCGTCTTTTTCTATCTGTGCAGAGCAATTGTTATTGTCTGCCTTTCTCACCACTTCATCTTTTGCTTTCTGTATAGAGCAATCGTTGATATTTTCAGATAACAAGCTTTCCACATGACCAATTTCAGTATATACATTGGACCTTTCCTTCTCTACACAGCTGGGTTCCTCCTCAGATTTAGTCGATGATGAGCATTTATCATCAATCGACCCAACCTTTTTGGTGCCGCCTACACTGGACACTGAAAATTCCCTGCAATTTTCTTCATTAGCCCCCTCTCTTGCTTTAGCACCTTCAAGAACTTGTTGATTTTCACATGCCCTTCCATCCTCACTGTTTGGAGTCTTGGCATCAACCTCTTGCAGTTGTTTGAAATTTGCGGCAGTTGGTTCTTCTAGTCCTTCATGCTGAAAATTTGATAGGCTTGCTGATGTAACCTCAATGTCAGGTTCAGTATTTTCCTTTTCCGTTATACTGATAGTGCCAGCTTGCTTATCACAAACAGATGCTTCTGAATCAGTCGGTCCATCTTTTGAACTATCGGCGGCATTGGATAATTCCACAGAACAGCTACTAGGATCAACTCTCTTGGTTTCAAGCTCTTCTGAACTAGATGTGAATACAGGGTTATCAAGGTTTGTTACATATCTATGCGTCAGATCAGCACTGCTCCCAAATGGTTGGACCTTTTCCATGTGGTTCGTTTTTCCAGCCTCTTTGTCTTTGTTGTCTTTTGCTTTCCATATAGAGCAATCGTTGATATTTTCAGATAACAAGCTTTCCACATGACCAACTTCAGTATATACATTGGACCTTTCCTTCTCTAAACAGCTGGGTTCCTCCTCAGATTTAGTCAATGATGAGCATTTATCATCAATCGACCCAATCTTTTCGGTGCCACCTACACTGAATACTGACAATACCCTGCAATTTTCTTCATTAGCCCCCTCTCTTGCTTTAGCTCCTTTGAGAACTTGTTGATTTTCATATGCCTTTCCATCCTCACTGTTTGGAGTCTTGGCATCAACCTCTTGCAGTTGTTTGAAATTTGAGGCAGTTGGTTCTTCTAGTCCTTCATGCTGAGAATTTGATACGCTCTCTGATGTAACCTCAATGTCAGGTTCAGTATTTTCCTTTTCCATTATACTGATAGTGTCAGCTTGCTTATCACAAACAGATGCTTCTGAATCCATCGGTCCATCTTTTGAACCATCGGTGGCATTGGATAATTCCACAGAACAGCTACTAGGATCAACTCTCTTGGTTTCAAGCTCTTCTGCACTAGATGTGAGTACAGGGTTATCAATGTTTGTTACATATCTATGCGTCAGATCAGCACTGCTCCCAAATGGTTGGACCTTTTCCACGTGGTTCCTTTTTTCAGCCTCTTTGTCTTTGTTGTCTTTGCCACTGCTGCGCTTGCTAGGCGGTGATTTTCTTGGAGTTTTATCTTTTAAGTTGGGTAGTGGATATACCGGAAGAAAAACAGATGATGCATTGCGGCATTGAAGGATATATGGTTGTAAGTGTGGATGCCTTATTAACTCTACAGCCTAAAGTAATAGATTATGCGGGTATTAGAGCCAATAGAAAAAATGTTCTTCAAATATCATGCAAGTGGGAGTAAACTCACTGTTGGTCTGTGTTCTGGACTTTTCCTGAGCATGCTCTTGATGATTTGTTTCCTATGATCCAAAGGCCAATACCATATAAGTCGATACAACATACCATATTAATTAGAAATATGCAATTATAATAATAGCACCATGGTTTCAATGATTTTAAATATAATTACTTACAGTGTGGAAGAATACACAATTGGAAGAGGAGAAATGATGGATCTGTTAATTTTGTTGATAAGTCCAGCCATGTCCTGTATAATCAAGTCATTCAGAACGGCAGCCCATAAATCAATGAGGCATCAAAAGCTCAAGCTTATACTTACAGGCGCTCTAAATGCTGATTGATGTGCAGCAATCTCAAACATACAGCAACCTGAAAAGCGATAGAAATTACAGTTATAACTGTTCAAAATCATGGTCATCAGCCAGGAAAAGTATAACTATAAGCGACTAGAGTTCTTACCAAGCGACCATATATCAGATTTATAGCCATAAGGTATATCTGCGAGAAGCTCAGGACACATGTAGTTTGGAGTTCCGACAACCTATGTTGAATTATATAGGGATTGAAAATGAACTGACATAAATAAGTATATTTAGTGATACAGTTGCAAGTGCCAAAAATTCTTAAGGGTGGCCAAAAATACTGAGGAATATTGAGTGGCCTTATCGGATAACCCAGTGCTTGGGGGAAAGGAGACGATTGTAAACCACTCTATGGAAAATTTCATGAAAACAGAGGAGTTCAAAGAAAGACTTGGAAATTCCAGCTTGTTTACATCATAGGGTTCTAAAAGACAGACTAGACAATTGTGTAGGTAGAGGCATAAAGACAATAAAACAATATAAATGCCAGTCCATACCGAAGAAGTAAGATCTTCTGTGTTGAGTAGTTTTGCAAGCCCAAAGTCACCTATAATGTTGATGCAAGATATACATATCTTTAAGACCAACACATGGAAACCACACTTAATGCAGTGAAACATTGCTTCTCTTAGTAATCATTGAGTGTACGTACCAAGTCGGATGTCATTGTCCTTAGTAAGGAATATATTAGAGCACTGCAATCATTAGATTTACGTTAAAATAACCATCATATGTACTGTATCATACTATTATTTCTTACTGCAACTAGGGTGGTCCACTATATTACCTTGAGATCCCTATGAAGTACACGATTGGAGTGCAAGTAGTCCACAGCTAGCAACAACTGAGTCAGCCATTTGCAGAGCTTCTGCAGGGAAAAACAGAATAACAACACAGAGCAGTTGCTTGCTACCCTTTGTATAGGCACATATACAGGATGTGAAGTTCTACCGAATCTAATTGATTACCTCCTCTGGAAAAAATTGTCCTCTGGCCTTCTTTATCATATCAACCCTGTTAACAGATTAGTTGTTTATCATTCAGTAATCACTAGAAGCATTGCAATTGATTTTCTAATTCTTAAGTACTTTTAAAACATTTTGATATAATGTCATAAACTAGAAAAAGAAACTCTCCTAAGGTCCTTAATGAGGTCTTAATTAACATCCACTAGATTAAATATAGGCGGTTGAGGTGAATCCCGGCTGTCCAATATCTGATCCAAGGACTCAGAAACAATACTTCATGCAAGGACCCTCTTTATGGACCTTAACAGAACAAGGCTCAACACAAGATATGCTTAGTTTAACATGTTGACTACGTAACTAAGATAATAGATTTCCTCCTATATTTTGTCCAATGTGTGCATTTCTATCAGTTTCAAGCTTATATTTAGAAGAAACTTGAAGATAGAAAACAAGTATTTAAATTCATCCTTTAAGCAAAAGATGTTAAAATATGAATCTTTTAATTCCATAATTTGGCAAAAGGAAAAATGCATTATTTCATAGTAGCCAAAACATAATTAGAGCATCGTTGATGTAAATTGTTGTTACTTACATGTCACCTCCTTCACAATAGCCCGTTACAATGCATATGCAGTCTCCCTGCAGAAAAACATGTACTGTTAAGCATCGGGAGTGACAAGTTAGGTACAACTGCTAAAGACTTCCCGAAATATATATACTCTTGAGTCCTATTCAAATTTATGAAATTTAAGAATCGTGGATTCACCTTGTCCACCCAAGCATCTTTATAATCCACAATATATGGATGATTTAACTTTGCAATTAAATTCATCTGCAGCAGAATAATAGAGATTGCGATTAATTGAGTAGAAAACACATCTTTCAGAGAAAATTGATATGAAATCACTAGATACAATATCAGGAGAAGGTTCATACGGTTTACAGGTGATAAACTATGAAGTAGACAATGAGAAGAAACAAGTGCCATTGACCCTCTAATATGGTATTTAGAATCAAAGTAATTGGGGACTACAAAACTAGAATGTTACAATCAAGGATCTATTTAATTATGTGTCCACAAAATAATAAAGAATGCATCATTTATGAGAAAAAAATTCTGAATGTCTGCAAGCGCATGCTCATGTATTATACTTTCATATGAATATTGTTTCAAGCATGCATATCCCAGTTGATTGTCATGAATAGATTTGGGTATTTTGGACGGAACGGAGTGCAGCCAAGACATGAAAATTTCATAAAGCTGAGATAACCAGAATGACAGTGATGATATGGACAAACAAATAAGAAAGTTGGAGATTGTATGTTTGACTGCCAAGAAAACAAGGAAAGATAAATTTTGATGCTACGGTTGGTTCCTAAGAGAAAAGATGACATGGAAAAAAGAGAAATCGGCTTTAATTGGACATATACTTGTTGAAAAATTGTAGCAACTCTAAAAATAAAAGAAGAAGATTAATAGCTGGGACTCAATGCTACATATATCAATATCCAAACAGTTTTTGAGAAGCAACCTCTTGGTGAGCTGTGCGTTTGAACTTCTCTGTTGGCTTAGCCAAACGAATTTTTTTCAACACATACCTATTAAAAGGAAAATTAAATGATTACAACAAAATTGATGAAGCACAGGTGTAATCAAATTTGAGCTAGAAACCGGTTGCACAATCAGAAAATAAACTATCAGAATATCGGTTATCTCTTCTTCCGAAATTTCATACCCTGAGATGTGAATTGTGGTACAAATGTAGGGTTTTCTAGCTAACTGTCCTTAATTGCAACAGCTATTATCCAACTATTCATTTTTCTTGTTAAATTGTCTTTAATTACAAAATTATCTTCCAAATTACAAGAATTACAATACTAATTACAAATTGCCTTGGAAAAAATGGAAAGTGGAAAACAAGTTTGGTAGAAAATACTCTTACTTCTTTTTCTGAATCTTATGAAGAACAAGAAAAGCGGCTCCAAAAGCCCCTCTCCCAATCTGCTCTATTACTTCATAATCCTCCATCGTTGACTTCGTTTCGGCATCGTCAGTCTCCATAGCCACCTAATTAAGACCTTCAAAACCCCACAAACCCAATTTTAAATCAAATGCAGAAACTCAATTGCACGTAATACAAACAGAATTTACTGCTATTACAGCAAAAAATTAACCCAAATCTAAAAACCCAGAAGAGGAAAATTGGAAAAGTTACCAAATTCAATGCAATGTTGCCCAAAGTTTGAGTCTTTAGGGTACTGAGTTTCCCAAAAAAAAATAAAAACTAAAGAGAGAGATATAAATGAATAAGAAGCTACACATTCAATAATAACAATGGGCAAAAAAAACTCAAAGTAAAAGCAGCAAGAGACCGAAATGATGAAGGGGACGGCAGTGTGATGACTAACCAAAAAAACGTAGAGAGAGAGAGGAGAGAGAGTGGGTGGAGGGGGCAGTCAGGAGTCAAGTAAAGCAGCAAATTAATACTTAATTGGGAGTTGATTATCTACCAAATAGAAAATGGAGGGGCTTGGGATTGGAAGGCAAAAAGCTAAAGTGACAGTAGTCAGCAGGTGTTTGTGAAACGGAATGAAGACTCGGGGAGAAAAGTAAACCTTTCTTTGCTTGCATTTACAGACTCATTCTCTCTCCCCTCACCGGAGAATGTTTTCCAGCGCGTAGTTGTCATGTCACTGTCCTTGCAACTTATAAATCCACTTCTTTTTTGTATTCAAACACAAAAAAAATATTTTTTTTAAATTTTTTTTTCAATCTCTCTTTTAGAATTATTGTATAAACGTTATACTTAAAATTATTTATTCTTTTTATTATATTTAAATATTTTTAAAAAATCATTCAATTAATAATGCCTCAATCACTAATTTGTGCCTAACAAATCGACAATTATAATAAAAATAATAAATTATTGATTTCTTTAATATACATGGAAAATAGAACAATAAAAATAACAAGTTCAATGATAACATTTATACAATGAAATAATGAAATGTCAAAAGTATCATCCCTTCTTTTATGAATGTACAGTCTCTGCCCGTCCACTTACTCAAGTTTTAGAAAATCACTCTCTTGCTCTTTAATTAATCTGGTGGAGGTTCAATTCCACAGATTCCCTTTTCTTCTAACAACTAATTACTTAGCTACTAACATTATCGCTCTACTAAAAAGGAAATTTTAAAAACATAACAATTATAAGTTTACAACTCAGCCAGATGACCATGGGCTTGCCCAAAGTCAAGTGCTATGGTGCCTCGTAATTGGTGATAAACGAAGAATGTTGAGGTACCGTGAAATTGATTCATCTCCGAATAATGAGTAGGTAGCTAGTTCAATCCTTTTGATTCTTCTCTTGATAGTAAACATATAGGGGGATGCAGAGCAATAGGTCGAATTTCTATATAAAGAAGAGTTGTAAACTATGGGAAGATTTCAGTGTTCAATAAGAATAGGGATTTGAAATGATACAAATTCCTCTTCATTTTGTTGTGCTCAACGAAGGAACTGCCTAAGCATACTTTTTCGGGTCCAAACTTGTTTGTTCTTTCTAACCTTTTCCCCAATTATGTAATATGGGTACGGTGGTGGTTCTCGTTGTGGCATTTCCCTTCCTCTACAGGGCACTTTGCTTGAAAATCAAGGCCTAGCGATAAAAGGTTGTCAAGTCAGGGCAAGGACATCAGGAGTTTTTGAATGAGTTGGAGCTCATAGCCAAGCTTCAGCATACCAATCTTGTTAGGTAGGGGTGGGTTCCAAAACCGAAAACCGAAAACCAAACTGAACCGAAACCAAATTGAAAAAACCAAACCGAACCGAATTCTTTCGGTTTGGTTTCGGTTTCAGTGGTCTAGAAACCGAACCGAATTAATTAAATTATTATTTTTTATTTAATTATATGTTTTGGGTATTATTTTCTAAACCCAATTTGTAAGCCCAATTTGTAAGCCCAATGTGTTGCCAAACTTTAAGCCCAAAATATTAAAAAAAAAACCTTTAGAACTCTTAACCCTAACCTATTATTTTTCCCCCTTCTTTTCTTTCACCCTAGTTTATTCAAGTGATTTTGCCAATATTCAAGCAATTATATTCTCATGCACCAGTTGCTTTAAACTTTCCCTTAAATTTATTCACTGTTCTGTGTGATCTTATTTTACTTCCAAAGGAATATCCAGTGGAACACATAAGATTTTACAACAATTTGGATCCTCACAGCGCAAGTGTGAACTCCATAAAACCTAGGACACCAACTAGATTCCTTAGTTCACCACAATATTCGTTGTTTTAATGGTTGAAGCATGTTTGTACCATACTTGACCAATCCTGAAATTGCTGAGCACCGATCAACGTTATACCGTCAAGGATCCAGAAGAGTTTTCCTTTAACCAGGAGGCCAATCACAGCGTGACACGTGTTGACATCAGAAGCTAATCATAGCGCAACATGTATCAACATCAGAAGCCAATCACAACACGACACGTGTCGATGTCAGAATGAAACTAGAAACTCTCTTTTATAAATAGAGATCATTCTCTCACAATATTTCCGAATGTCATTTGTACTAAATCATTCACTAGTACTCACTAAAGGAGAGCTTGAACCTATGTACTTGTGTAAACCCTTCACAATTAATGAGAACTCCTCTACTCCGTGGACGTAGCCAATCTAGGTGAACCACGTACATCTTGTGTTTGCTTCCCTATCCCTATCCATTTACATACTTATCCATACTAGTGATCGGAGCAATCTAGCGAAGGTCATAAACTTAACACTTTCTGTTGTACCAAAGTCCTCACTGATTTTGTGCATCAACATTTGGCGCCGTCTGTGGGAACGACACTTATTCCCACTCTCTTCAGCTTTGCCAAGCTGGTTTCCACCATTCGTACACTCTCTTTTGACCAGGCATCCCTCTCCAACATGGAGAGCGAAGGAAGCCACAGCACACAGAATGACACCCATTTTGCACCTAGTGCGAAGCAACGAAAAAAGGAAGGAAAAATGGTTGCTCTTCAAGCTAAAGTCGATGAGCTAGAATCTCGGAACAACAAGATAGCAATGAAGAATGAGGTCATCCAGGAGTAGTATGAGAAGCTCTTTGAGACGCTCCATGAAACTAAGCGTACTCAAACACGCAAGCTCGTTGCCCATGTAGACATCAACCATCATCTGGGTGCTCCCCAACACAAAGGGTCACCTCCCTTCGACATGGGTATCCCTGTGAGGAGTGAGCTAATCATCAAAACATTGATCAACATGAGACTTCTCTTAACCCAGATGCTTCGACCCGAAGTAGAAAAAGTGGAGGAAGACACCTCCTTGCAGAAGGGTTGGAAGGATTGAAAGCCGTTTATCGTGACTGCTAAGACTTCCTAAAGCAACGTCAAGAGAATCCCCTCCACATATACTCAAAGATCAATGACCCAAGGGTTTCTGAAATACTCGGTCCCCTCCCACGACCCAGGCCAGCTGCCAATCTAGGGAAGGAACGATAGGTCCCAGAGGAACATGAATGTACAGGGGACTCTGAGGTATTCCGACAGACTCGCCCTAGAAGTCAGTAAGGCAAGTCTAAGAAAAAACCGCACGCCCATGCTTAAACTTTCCTACTTCCAAGAGGCGATAGAGACTTATGAAAGAAAATTCCAGTGGTACATGACTCCACTCAGGACCCCCTTGTCCTACAGCTCATTGAGGAAGTAAACAAGTTGAAGGCTGAACGCCAGGCTGAGATACCTGACTGGAACCAACCCAGGCCTGGCCCTATCACAAGAATGATCATCAACACCCCCTTCAAGCGAAGACAAAACAAAAACTTGGTTTACAACTCTATACTGGAAGGGAGGACCCAATTGAACACCTTAACCTCTTTGAGTCCACCATGGCATATCAGATGCACACCGACGAAGAGTGATGCCTTCTCTTTCCCTCCACCCTCTCTGGCGGAGCTCTAAACTGGTATTGCCATCTTCCACTTGAGACAGTAGACTCATTTGAGGATTTGAGGAAACTGTTTGTCTCTTAACACATCTTCCAGATCAATCACTTGCATTCTGCAGATGACTTTTACACTATTCGCCAAAAGCCAGACGAGTCACTACGAGAGTATGCCGGTCGCTTCAGCCATGAGTATTCTCGCTGCGCTGAGGCAAATGACAAGACTGCTCTCAAGGCCTTCACAGCAGGCCTATGTGATTGTTTCTTCAAGTACATGATCAATGCCAACACTTGGAAAACTTACTGTGAGGTGATAGCACAGGCTTACAACCACGCTTCCGCCGAAGCAAGAACATACCAAGGGAACCCTTCTATGGTTAACCCCTATCAACAAATGGGAAGTGGAAGTCAAGTTCTACCAAGTGAGGAGATATTGGCCATTCAGACACCTATTGCATCATCTCCTGCCTCATTTAGCTACTCGCTAAGTCACCAAACGTATCTGTCTCTTGGTAAGAGGCAGGATTTTTACTCTCAATAAGCCCATTACAACAAGAGGGATAAAAGTTCGTATCAAGACAATCAGGGGTGAACGTACCGTCGGCTATTATGATTATGGGGTCAAGCCTCACTCTTTCAAAGTGGAGGACTAGGTACTGAAGGAAATGCTATTATAAGAAGGCATACACATTACAAATGTTTTGACTCTTAATCGCTTGAGATCTTTTGTCACACAAGCCATTCGGCAAATATTTAAAGAAAAGGGAATTCGGACAACTTCTTCTGAGTCTTTTGCATTCTTAGCACTAGAACACTTGGTCTACGCTGACCTACCCTTATACTCCAACTCAGAGCTTCAACATGCATACTTTGACACAAAGTATGTGATATTAAGTGTTACAACCAACATGGTTCACTTATTAAAAGCATGGATCCCTTCATGCATAGCAAAACATTCATAAGCATCACTCATATCAACCAACATAAACATTATACATTCCAACACATTCATACATAAACATCATACATTCCAACACATTCATACATAAACACATACATACATTCAACACATCCATACATACATAAGCCAACTGTGCTTCGAAAGGGTTCAACATACTTTGTGTCTTCGACACTTGCTACAATGTGCCTCGACACCTTGCCCTTATTCTCACCAACCAGGTGATGAAATGTGAAGAAGGAACACATCTTCATGCCACCAACCAGGTGATGAAATGTACAACCCGTACTTTAATATCATTTGGCAACTTGCCACTCATGCCACCAACTAGGTGAAGAAGGAACTCATCTTCGTGCGACCAACCAGGTGATGAAATGTACAACCCGTACTCTAATATCATTTGGCAACTTGCCATTCATGCCACCCACCAGGTGAAGAAGGAACTCAACCTCGTGCAACCAACCAGGTTATGAAATATGCTGAAAGCTGATAAAGGAACTCACATTTGTACCACCAACCAAGTGATGAAAACAACTCACCATTCATTCCACCTGCCAAAAGACGAGTGGTACAACTTGTACATGTGAACTCCTAGCATTCACAAATAATAAAAAACCCTCAAGCTTGACAACTCAACTAGGGGAGCACTTATGCCCAACAAGAGTTATAGTCACCAACAAAGTCTTATTGCAAGCCAACAACAACTTCAGTGCATGGCATACGAAGATCAAGCTATTCAGCCCTCTTGCATTTGCTTCAGACATTTCC